TTTTTTTTTTTTGAAGTGATTTTATCTGAGATGGACGGGAGGCGGATTACGGCGAGCCCGAGACCGTGCTGTGGGCGGCGAGTGGTGGCGAAAAAGCGGCCTCGCGGTGGTTTAGATGGGTTCGTTAACAGCGTGAAGAAGCTGCAGAGAAGGGAAATTTCATCCAAGCGTGACCGCTCTTTCAGTATGAGTGATGCGCAGGAGAGATTTCGCAATATTCGTCTGCAGGTTCATTTGATTGAACCCGTCATCTTTTATATATTTTTTTTTAGTTGTATTTGTTCCTGTTTTCAGACTCAAGGGTTTCTGATTGCTTACGAAAGATTCAAACTTGTATGTCTCTGTGATGGCTGATTTCATCGTAGAGCAAAGTGAGGTTTTCTGCAGGTTTGATTTAGCGTTCCTTGTGTCTCCGGCAGAAAACCCATTTAGATTTTTGAGTGCATTGTCACTTTATTGACATACATATGTTGCTGTGTTTTTAGATATATGTTTTTGAGTTTGTTGGCTGTTATGTTTTATCTTCTGGACCGAGATGGAATAAAGAAGATTGATGTAAAAATATTGGAATTGTAGGGTTTCTCGAATAGTAACAACAATAATATGTCGATCTGTATCTTACATCCTCTGCATCTTAGATCGTCTGGTGCAACAGCTGGGCAATTTTTCTGGATGAATGATAGAGACTTATTATGTGTTTGATAAGCACCATAACCAAACTAGCTTATTTAGTTAACTTATAAGCTTCTAGTATTTGAGTTTGCTTCGGTTGAATAGGTTTTTGTAAAGAACTCGAGCTTATATCATAAACTTCTTTAGGTAGCTTTTCATAGAAGTCCGTTGAAATTTTTATTTCAGCTGTCTTATCAACTTATGTGCCCTTTTTGTGTTTCTCTTACCATTGGTTCTCTTGGGTTTCATCTCTAGCCTACCCCAACTTGCTTGGGACAAAAAGGCTATGTTGTGTTGTCGTGTTGTGACTTATCAACTTATATAATCTAACGTTTTCATTATATCAGTTAGCTTTCTAGCCATCGAAACTCGAAATTAACTTATGATTTACCAAACATACCCTTAGTTATCTTATAGAGAGTTAGTTACTTTTTTTGTGTGATTTTGTCAATTGCACATGCTCCTGCATGTAATATTCAAGTGCTGAACATTTTCATGGGCGATAACTTTTTTGGAATTTTTCTAGGTTAAATAAGTTCTGTGATTTTTTCGACTAAATACGTGTTTTAACTTTTTTCGTCGTTCGATCTTGTCTTTTTGTCACCTTTAGTCTATATTACATATACAATAATATGAACATGATTTTAGAAGTTGTAATTGTCATTATTCGGTTACCATTAGTACTTTTGTCACTTTTAGAATATAACTATTCCTTATATGAACACAATTTTGAATGACTCAGGGGTCATTAGTTGAGTCAAAATGTTGAATATTTTTTCATTAAATGATCATCCTCTCATTCACACAAAGTCCCCTTTAAACCCTTTTTAACGTTACCTTTTCTCCACCATGGTCTGCGTGCCGCTGTCTAACCTTACCCACCACACAAACATGCCTTGTGTTCTAGCAATAGCTGCGCATGACATCAGCTTAGTAATGCTATATGCCTAAAAGCGTATGTTAAATCGATATCTGAAGAATGTTACCTATGGTTGATCCAAATATAGTTGCTTTCTTTTCTAGATATAGTTGCTTTCGTCTTTGTGCGTAAAGTCCAAAATTGTCTTCCTGACTTACTGTGGTTTCTCATCAATTCTAATTGAGGCGTAAAAATATCTTTAGTGTGTGGCATTTAGGCGTCGACCAACATATTTGCCCATGCATTAGTTTCCTGATATGATGTTTTAGATAGGCATTTTCTCATTAGTCCTTTTACCTCCTTCAGTGGTATATGCACTTGATTGTTAACCAAGTATAACTGTGTTTCAGGAGGAGTATGACACTCATGATCCCAAGGGATATAGTTCTTTGTCATTGCCATTTCTGAAGAAGAGGTCAAAAATTATTGAGATAGTTGCTGCCCGTGATATTGTCTTTGCTCTAGCGCAATCGGGTGTCTGTGCAGCATTCAGCCGAGGTGCAATGATATAATGAAAAATTATCAGCTTATGCAAATGTTTTCTTCTTAATCATTGGCAGTAGAAAATTGACTAATATGCCACCTGTTGTTTGCAGAGTCTAACCAGAGGATATGCTTCCTTAATGTCTGTCCTGATGAAGTTATCAGGAGCTTGTTTTACAACAAAAACAATGACTCGCTCATAACAGTTTCTGTTTATGCCTCAGATAACTTTAGTTCATTAAAATGCAGAACCACAAGGATTGAGTACGAAATTTTATAAGTCATGCGTTCCTAATGCTATTCATGATCATACTCTTTCTAAAGCTCATGTGTAACGAACTTTTTTCAGATACATTCGAAGGGGTAAACCCGATGCTGGATTCCCGCTGTTTGAGTCTGAGTCTCTGAAGTGGCCTGGATTTGTGGAGTTTGATGATGTGAATGGGAAGGTTCTGACTTATTCCGCACATGACAGGTATGTGTTTAACAATCTCAATTTGTGAATCATTTGATGTATTTCCTTGAAATTTGCTGATGCCGTAGTTTTTTTCCTCTTCAGCATATACAAGGTGTTTGACCTGAAGAACTACACCATGCTCTACTCCATATCGGACAAAAATGTTCAAGAGATTAAGATCAGGTTGATATGTGAATTTAGATTCCTACCCTCTACACCATGCTCTGCATATTTCTTGACCACATGCTTCTTTACATAAAGTTCATGTTGTAGTTCAAGTGATGTGCCTCTCACTGCTGGAATCCATATATTTTTTTATGCACATGCTCCGAGTATAAGATCTATGTGGTGTCTTGGTATCCAACCACATTTGAAGATTCTAATTTATACATATGATGGCATCATTCGTTAGTGTTGGGTCTCAAGCTGCTTCATTGACTGCATAGAATACCTTTTTCCGTTAGTGTTGGGGTTGCTGCTGATTCTGACTGATCATCTGTTTACTTCTATTGTGCCTGTTGCTTTATGCTGAAAACTTGCAATGGACATATATCATATGATGCCTGCACCTTGGAAATAGTTCTTTCCTTGGGTTCATTTCACGAGTAGGAATTGGTTATCCCGCCTCCCAATTCTATTGCAAAAAACACCTCGAAGCTGATTAAACTTCATTATTTTTTTGCTCCGGCTCCCCAGCATTCTTGACTTGATATATTATTTATGGTTTTGAAGTATTTTGTTTTAGTTTCTTTTCGGGTCGTACAGAGAATGTTTGCAACTAGTTAAAATTTTGGTGCTACTATCATGTATATCTAATGAGTTGAATTCACATCCCTCAACAGCCCAGGTATCATGCTATTGATTCTTACCAAAGCCCATGGTGGTGTCCCGTTAAAGATCCTCTCTATTGAGGATGGTACTGTCTTAAAATCTTTTAGCCATCTCCTTCACAAAAATAAGAAGGTTGATTTCATAGAACAATTCAACGAGAAGCTCCTCGTCAAGCAAGAGAACGAGAATCTACAGATTGTCGACGTAACTCACACACTCTCTGTCTCTCTCTTCCCTTCCCCCCNNNNCAAAAAACATGTTCATTTTCCTGTGAAATCTGAATATCTTTTCTATACAGGTTCGTAATACCGAGATTACGGAAGTTAGCAGGACCGAATTTATGACCCCATCTGCATTCATATTTCTGTACGAGAACCAATTGTTTCTGACGTTCAGAAACCGAACTGTCGCTGTTTGGAATTTCAGAGGGGAGCTTGTGACCTCGTTCGAGGACCACCTCCTTTGGCATCCTGATTGCAATACAAACAACATATACATCACGAGTGACCAGGACCTCATCATCTCTTACTGCAAGGCAGACTCGGAAGAACCACTTTCTGATGGACATGGTATGTTTACAACATTTTTATCATTAAGATAATTAAAAGTACCCTTGAAATTTGATATAATTGCAATTGCTCAGCTACCTTTCGGAATTTTCTGTAGAAATCGAAAAAGAATGTGGTTTGATGTGGCGTTAAGGGGCTAAATGTGATATCTTGTAAATGTGAAAGGACATTTTATATAATGTTCTTTGCCAAGTGAAAACTTAGGGCGTTTTTCTGTAATTTAAAAGTTATCATGGCCTTTTTGTTGTTAGGTCAAACCGCCAAAGTGCCTTTTTAGCAATTTTTTACCCCCCATTTTTTTTTTTTTTCGTTCATGATTATTAAAATTAAAGTTTTTTTAATTAAAATAATTCCCCTTGATGTTCAGTCTCATTGCGAAATAGTTCCATTGAATTACAATGATCGCCTTAATTCTATTTCCCTGAATTACCATTAATCCAACACAAGAATCCCAATGTGGTGGTTATTGTACCTGAATGGCTGGCTATCTGTAGCATTTTCGAAAAATTACTGCCCCCTCGTTGCAAATTTCGTTACACCTAACTCTTCAGACTACATTCACCATATATGCATACATTTAAGCAATTTGACCGCGTTATACACACTACACTGTTTTTTACAGCCGGTTCTATAAATATCAGCAATATCCTGACGGGCAAGTGCTTAGCCAAGATAAAGGCGAGCAATGGTCCCCCCGCGAACGAATGTTACTGCTGCTTGGACTGTGGCGGCCGAAACTGCAACCCGAGAAAGCGTGGTAAAATTTCCGGGGTTCGAAGCACTGTGGCCGAGGCTCTTGAGGATATAACCGCACTATTTTACGATGAAGACCGTAACGAAATCTACACTGGGAATAGACTTGGTCTCGTTCACGTCTGGTCCAACTAAACGTAACCAAGATGGTGCTTTTTCCAAAATTTTCATGTCTTGTGGTGCTTTTACTCACCCCCCACATTAAAGGGAGGTTGGTATTCGGTGTGATGTTTTGATGTACTGTTTTTTCCAAGTAATGTTGGATTGACTTTTCGGGTGTGATCGTCTTGACTGAGGCAGTGGATTGTCTCGTGTTGTAGATTTGTTGTGTCGCGTGAATTGATGGGCGCTCAGCGGGAGCTGGTCGAACCTTTGCGAATCGTGTAATTTGGGTCGAATCGTGTATTTTGCATTCTGAGTTAGGAAGTGATTGGTCAAACTCAAAGACTGGTTGTGGATGATTGTTATATGGATGCTTTTTATATTTGCTTCAGGCTGTTTGTCTGGTGCATGAATGCATTTTGGTGGTGAGGTGAATGTAAAACCACTTTTTTTTTTACGTGTAGAATGAACTTTTGCTTGTATTTTTTAACCAAAAAAAATTATGCATTTTTATTTTTTTTATTTTTTTTTTTTCTGTTTTTGTTGCAAGTGGCAATGTTTGTTTTACCGATTTTAAGCATTATTGATGTTCCAAATTATCGAACTACCCATCCTCAACTTAAAATCCCAATTTTTAAATTCATTTTACAGTAATTGTCACATTTTAGTAATTCATTTTGATGAGGATGGTTGATGAGGATAGAATTATTATTATTATTATTATTATTATTATTATTATTATTATTATTATTATTATTATTATTAGTATTATTATTATTATTATTATTATTAGTATTAGTATTAGTATATTTATTAAATAATGATCAGTTTGGGGAATAAGCTAAGTTTAGGGTTTGGATGTCTTATTTAAAGACCTCTCTCATTTATTATTCGACAATGAATTTTGAGAATAAATCTGATATTGTGAGTTTTTACGTGTTTTACGAGAGGAATTTTTTACCGAAAAAAAAAAACAAAAAAGTAGTGGACAAA